GCATGAGTCAGGGTTCTCAGAGAAACAGAACCAATAAGATGCATGAATTTGTGTGTGTGTGTGTGTGTGTGTGTGTGTGTGTGTAGAGGGAGAGATACAGATATAGAGAGACAGAGAGAGAGAGAGCGATTTATTTCAAGGAATTGGCTCATATGATTATGGAGACTGGCAAGTCCAAAGTCTACAGGATGTGTTCACAGACTAGCTACTGAAGGGAGAGCCAAGGCTGCAGTTTAAGTCCAAAGGTCGTCAAGCTGGAGACATAGAGAAGAGCCAGTGTTGCAGATCAAGTCCAAGGGCCATGAGCAGCAGAATTCCTTCTTGCTCAGGGGAGATCAATTTTGTGTTCTGTTCTAGCCTTCACTTGATTGGATAAGGCCCACCCTCATTATACATGGCAATTTACTTAAAGTCCATGGATTTAAAAGTTATTCTCATCCAAAAGTACTCACACAGAATCATCCATAATAATGTTTGGCCACATACTTGGGTGCTGTGGCTCAGCCAAATTGACAAAGTTAACCATCATGCTTTCTTTCAGTCTTTTCTTTTTCATTCCCTCTTTTTCTTTTTAACACAGAGAGTATTATATGGCAAGATGTTCACGGCTTATTTACATAATATATATATTTTTCACATAAAGTATTCTGCATAATTGCCACAACAACTTTATGAACTACATAGAGAAAGCATTTATATTTTCTTTTTACATGCCAGGAGACCACATCTCAGAAAGGTGCCGTGATTTGCTCAAGGCTAAACAGACGACATTCGCCCATTCCAGGAGTCAAACCCAGACCTTCTGAATTAAGATTCCTAGCTCTTTCAAATGATTTTTAGCTCCCAAAACCTCAGCTGAGAGTACACTGAACATTGCAACACTGCCCATATTTTAAACCACTCATTGACATCCATAGTATCTCTGGAGTCACCCAGACTTTTACCATGGGTCATTTGCAGGGTATGGGGCAAGGGTAGGCATTCTCAGTTGCATTTTCTAGATCTCCTTTTATTACTTCTGCTTGTATTATGTTATCTTTCTGTTGCCTTGGACAGTAAGCAGAGTAAGCAGCACTCAAGAGACGCTGGACTTGATGGCATGGTTATAGAAGGAGTAAGATGGATAAGGTTCTTTTTTCCGTTTAGCTCACTGACCTTTCAAACAGGAACCACCAGTGAATTGGTAAAAAAAAAAAAGAGGCCCTGAAGCATTTTCATCCTCTCATAAGGCTGCCAACTTGTTTACTCTTCAGCTTAGATAATGTGATTTATTACCTTTCATTAATGTGATTTATTACCTTTCATCATGAGCCTGGATGGACTCTGCTGTCTTGGGTTCAGCCCCATTTTGTGGCTGAAGCAGCAGAGATTTTATTTTTAAATGATAAGCCCATGGATCAGACAGTATACCTTAAACCTGAATTGACCTCCAGCTCCTAAATAATAAAAATTAAAAAATGTGCTTCACAGGATGGATGAAGTGAAGAGAGAGAGAGAGAGGGATGGG